CCCGCGCCCGCCGCCCCACCTCGGAGCGCGGCGAACCGCTCCAGCCGCCGCCCCGTGGCCGCCCGCCGCGCCGCGCTCCGCCCGCCCGCCGCCACCGCCGCCATCGCCCCGCGCTCCGCCGGGCGCCGCCTACCCGGAAGCGCCGGGGGCGGACGCGGAGCGCCGTGCGCAGCTGCCGGAGCGGAGCTGAACCGGGCTGCGCTGCCGGGCGCGGTCCGTCGCGGCGCTCCGCCCGAATTGGTTTTTGTGCCCGTGGGCCTCGGCCTCCTATGGGCTCTGCGGGCTCCAGAATCGGGGGGAGAGGCAGGATTTGTCTGCACGTCAATCTTACGGCACAAGTAGCTCGAAAGCACTATAGGAAAAAAATAAAAATAAAAAAAAGTAAAAAGCAGCTACCGAAAATAATTTAGGAACTTTAAAAAATTACCAAAAATCCATCGTTTGCCATAAACAGAAGACGACAGGCAGGTACTGGAACAGCTGCCCAGAGAGGCTGTGGATGCCCCGTCCATCCCTGGAGGTGTTCAAGGCCAGGTTGGATGGGGCCCTGGGCAGCCTGGTCTAGCATTAGGTGGGATGGTTGGTGACCCTGCATGTGGCAGGGGGTTGGAGATTCGTGATCCTTGAGGTCCCTTCCAACCCTGGCCATTCTGTGATTCTGTGACGATGTGTGCCTCCTGCTGCTCTATGGCTGTGGGCTGTCACTGCGGCTCGGCTCCCCAGGGCTGGGTGGCCACAGTCCGTCTGAGCCCGGCTCACGCTCTCAGCTCTCTCTACGTGAGCACCATGCATCCTTGTGAAACCATCTCCCTGCTTTTCCTGTTCGCTCTGAGTGCCTGGGCAGCCTGGGATGGTATTCGATGTGGAGGTTGGTGGCCCTGCCTGCAGCGGAGGGGGGGCTGGAGATTCGTGATCCTGAAGGTCCCTCCCAACCCGGGCCGTTCTGTGATTCTGTTTATTGACTTAATTAACATCAGTGAACGACATTTCCAGCTGCACCCTGGCCCTGTGGAACTGTTGCTGTTGTGCCAAGGCCAGTAGTTCCCCAGGGCAGCCCTGCTGTGCAAGCTCTGCACTGCTGAAGCTGGGCATAGGGTGACAGTGGTTACCTGGTGATTCAATGGACAATGAAAAGGGTTTGACTTAAGAGCTGTAGTTCAAAATAAACTACTTCTCAGTATTTTGCACATCACAGCATCACAGAATCACAGAATGGCCAGGGTTGGAAAGGACCTCAAGGATCATGAATCTCCAACCCCCTGCCGCATGCAGGGCCACCAACCTCCTCATTTAATGCTAGATAGACCAGGCTACCCAGGGCCCCATCCAACCTGGCCTTGAACACCTCCAGGGATGGACGGGGCATCCACAGCCTCTGGGCAGCTGTTCCAGCACCTCACCACTCTCTCTGTAAAGAACTTCCCCCTGACGTCCAACCTACATCTCCCCTCCCTCAATTTCAAACCATTTTCCCTCGTCCTGCTGTTATCTCCCCTTTAAAAGATTTGATTCCCCTCCCCTTTGTAGGCTCCCTTTAGGTTCTGAAGGCTGCAATGAGGTCACCCCGCAGCCTTCTTTTCTCCAGGCTGAACAAGCCCAGCTCCCTCAGCCTGTCTTCATAGGGGAGGTGCTCCAGTCCCCTGATCATCTTTGTGGCCTTAATGTTTTACACTGACAACATGTTTGAATTGTTGTCAATAGGCAACAGGAAGGTCAGTGTGACAGCAGCTATGCTGTGAGCTGGCTGTGGCTTCTTGCCTCTCCTCCTGCAGAGGTTTCATCTGCAACCTGCTGCCCTGCCCTGCCCCGGCCTTATCCTGCAGGTGTTTCTGAAGTACACGTTTCAGTTCTCAGATTTAAGCAATGATTAATCTACTATTTAATCTTTGGAAAAGAACTGAAGTTCTGAGCTGTAGGTGTGCTAATGACAGAATGCAGCAGAGTGGACCAGAAGGAACACTGTGACTGCTGTGACTGCTTTCCGTTACTCACATCCTGAATTGTGTTATGGTTGTAACTTTCAATGAGTTGTTTGGAAAGCTGTGTCCTCCAGGTTTGTAATTTACCTCTTAGTTAACAAGAACGAGACCTGAAAGAGTTGGTTCTCACATATTCCCAGCTAATGCCCCCTCTGCACTGTTAGATCCTTCAGCTTTTGTAGGAGATGCATCTTCTTTATCTCAGCTCACTCCCCTTCTAGCTCCTTATTCTTCAGGCTAAGTGGAATAAAATCCAGTAGCGGTGTTGCAGAAGATAAATGGGTGACACAGAGCCACGTGAACTGTCAGGGTGTAACTTTTGTCCCAGAGACAGGAGGGTCTGTGTGACCCCTGGGAGGGACTCACCCTGTGTCTGCCAGCTGGTGTGACAGACACACGTGGAGAATAAACAAAGAGCAATTATTTAACAGGCAGTGTAATTGGCCGTTGGAACAGCCCGCTTAGAGATCCGGTCGATCACTTGGAGTCACTAAATCAAATTGAATGTCTCTGCTCTATTCAGCCAGAAATTATGGGCTTCAGACAGGAATACTGAATGAAGATGAGCTGTCTTATCTGGAAGGTCAGACTAGATAATGACAGTGTCCCTGTCTGGCTGTACATCAGTAAATACTTATTGTTTCCCTAAATGCCAATGGGTATGATTCTGAGCATGCTGCATTACAGCCCTGAAGAGCAATTCCTTTGGTCAGTTTCTCCCACTGCTGGCCTTCTCTCTCGGCACGCCTCACTTCACCAGCTCCTGCACTAGGGTGCAATGTTAAAACAAGCACATGCATCTCTGAGCATGGCTGTTTCACTTAATCACAATAAACCTAAATCCTATCAAAATATGTTTTCCTTCCAGGAACAGCACACTCACACGCTTCCAGCAGAAGACGTGTAATCACACTGTTGCCTGAAATAAAATGTTCAAGCTGTGAGTATTTATGGCAGTGCTGAAATTCGGTGTCATTTCATGATTTGAACCGAGCTCTCGTATAGACTTAATTGCAAAGATGTAATATTCCTTAAAAGCACTCATTCTTAGAATTTATAGAACACTGAGAGAATCAGCAGTGCAGATCTGAGCACAAAGGGCAGAATTCTGCCTTGCTGCAGGAGCTCTGGCTGCACCCAGGCAGCTCCCACCCGCAGCTCTCATGGGCACATCTTCTGCCTTGACTTCAGTCGTTAGCTGTTTTGGTTCATTGTGCTCCTGGTTTACTTTGGGTGCATTCTTTGTGTGTCTGTGCTGCTGTGGAAATACACTCGTGTGCAGAAATCCCCCTTCAGGCCTGGATCAGATCATAGAATAACAAGCTGTGTGTGTTAGCATTAATACCACTGCACTATTAGAAAAAAGGGAACAGGGTTGATAACATTTGACTGCAGAGAGCCTTCCTCTCCCCGCCCCAATTAGTTTTTCTGCACAGAATCAATTAATTTGTTAGCCGTACCTTATTTGGTTAGAAAAAGCTTCTGCAAAAATAGACATAAATTATTTTATTAAAGCCATATGCGAGGCAAATGTTAAATATTTTACAGGCACATCAGCTGTACTTGAAACTTCTTTGCCATTTTTAGTTACCATTTGAAGCTAATATCTGTAATCTATTGGAGAAAAAGCAGTTGAAACACTCAGCTTAAGATAAATGATCTTTTTAGCTGGAGTATAGAGTCCATAATTACAGCATGAACAGATTAGGGAAAATAACATTCCGTCACATCTCTCGTTTAGATTTACAGAAATTCTGCTTCTTATTTCATATCTAAATGGCCCATCTCCAGCAGTGTTCTCACCGTCTGATGTGGTCCGGCTGTTCTCTGACTCCTCCCACCCTTCATACAGACTGTTGGGTCCTAAAATTCTGTCTTTGTCATCCACGGAGTATTTTTAGCCACGTGCTCTGTTAAACTGCTCGTACTCCCATAGCTACAGTGCTGAAATTAAACATACATTATCACCCATTAAAAGAAGAAGAAGAAGGCGTCTCGCTATGCATAAACACGTGGCTAAAACACACTGCTAATTGGCTCGGGGCTGAAAGCAGGGCTGGCTCTGATGTTTCTGATGTTTCCCAGGACTACATCCAGGCAGGACCCTGACTGGGCCCTGCGCTTTGCCAGCTGGCAGCTGCTTGCTTGCGGCAGGTTTCTTGGTCGTGTTTTTCCGTGCATTGCTCAAACAACAGTTTGTTTTCCTCTGGGTAAAACAAGCTACATGGTAACAATACTTTAAGGCTATGTCATGCCTAATGTGTTCTAGCAGTCCAGTGTTACAAAAAGTAACTCTCTTCTGAAGGGGCATTAGGACAAGAGACTGCAAAGAACCTGCCTTCCTTAGTCGTGTTCTGCCTGTTGCTATTCCTCAGCACAAGGGGATTTGCTGGCCCTGAAATTCCCGTGCTGCTGGTCCTCATCTTTGTGCTGAGCTGAGCAGGGCACAGCAGCAGCTCCTGTTTGCTGGGCACCGCAGGGCGTTGTTGTTTGCTGGGTGCTGTTGGCTGGGTGTTACATGCCGGATGATGCTACATGATGGATGCTACATGCTGGATGTTACATGCTGGATGCTACATGCTGGGTGCAGTTTGCTGGTCCCTGTGTGCCCCTTCTGCCACCCCATTGATCTCTGCCTAATGCTCCCAGATGCCTTCACAACACGGATATTTCACTCTGTGAGCAGCTAGCTGTGCTTACCCAGCAATTAACCCTTATGTGAAGGACTTCGTTTACTTTGTACGTTTGTATCATAGTACCTCATCCTCCACTGTTTCCTTCCTGAATGTATTTAGCAGATATCATTACATTTCTTCCCCGGTGCTGTCCTTGAACAGATATTGAACGTAAAATGAATCTGTAGAGGGCTCTTGCTTCTGTGACTGCTTCTTACTAGCAAAATTCTTGCATTTTTAAAACGTGGTTCCTTTCTAGACATTATTGCCATGTTTAACTGTCCTTCTCTAGGTCTAACAAAACCTTTTCCCTCTACTTTACTGTGGCCCATGTTTTGATATGTGTGGCAGTGTGGGTGCTGCAGGCCAGCCCTCCTCCCTACCCTGCAGCCAGGCTGTTCCTGGGCCCTCAGAGACATCCCTGCTGTTCCCGGAGCAACAGAGTCTGAG